TTGTCTTTTGAAGAGCTCCGGATGTGATTCGTTACCCTGTTATAAATTCATGATGCAGGTAAATGTTAGAAGCTGCCCCCACCCTGTAATAGTGGTATAATAGGAATATAATCATATATAATCCTTATATAGTCACTATTACAGGGTGGGGGCAGCTTCTATATAAGGTAAATGTTACAAACCCTTCTGAATCCCAAACTCTCTATATAATAAACCCTGTCTATAGGAAGCGCGTGCTGGTGCTGATCCTGGAACAGCTCCTGTGACATCTGTAGCTATGAAGCCAGCTTCTTTGCCAGCACAGCCACCTCAGAGCCCCGCGATTCCCCCCCCGAGTGCTGCTACCGCCGTGCCGACTGTCCCCAACCCTGCGGCTGCTGTGCCAGCACATCCACCTCAGAGTGCTGCCCCCGCCGCCCCGACCTTGTCATCGGGACCAGCTCCGGATCCCGCCGCCATTCACCAGGCTTGGTGGGGATTTAGGCTGGGTATAGGCTCAAGGTTTATTGAAGACAGGTTGAGTTTTATTGAAGTTGAGGGTTTAAGTTTGGGTCGGTCTTTTATAGGAGTTCGTTATTGGCTCAGGAAATAGGCGAAAACCTTAGATAAACAACATGTATAGAAATACGTATAACTATATATAAAACTAGTTATGAACTTAAGGGTGTGGGTTTTCCCGCGGGTTTAGAAAGGGCTTCAGGCATTGAACCTATATCACCACCTTTAAGTACCACTGGCAGGTGCCTCAACCGATCCTGGTGACTTCAAAGGATGTTGCCAAGCATGATGCCACGCTCAGACGAATGTGTGGCCCCTCAAAGACCTTCGGCAAAAAACGCACCCAAGTCAACATCCCTCCCGAAGTCAAGAAGGCCTGGGAAGCTGGAGGAACGAGCCGCACAGAATTGCTCTCAATTCTCATCGAAGCCCAGGGCGACAAGGATGATGGGTTCAAAACGAATCAAAGATCCCCCAACATAGGGTATGTGATACGGTTATATATGAGAATTAAGTTAGAATATAAAGATATCCTCAATCTGGTTTCTACACAACAGATTGCCCGAAGGCCAAGTTTGTGCAAAAGGCGAAGTTGATCGTTGAATCCAAGAAGGAAACCACCTTGAAGATCAACGCCGGTTTCTATTCGGAGCGAGCTATGAAAGACACCTTGAAGTTCCCTTTGCAGCTGTGTCATATTGTTTCAACACCCCGGGTGCCACACTTCCCCACCTATGTTACTAACCGTATATTAAATAAGCCAGACCACCAATGTAGGATCTCGCTCTCCCGTAGACGCCCAGGTCACGGATCAAAGGTGTCATCGCCTATTGCACGGCCACGCCGGAGAGGAAGGCTACTCTCACTCGGACGGGGGTTTAAGCCTATGGTGTGCTACGACTTACAATGACCTTGTAGGAGTCGGCTTGGTTTGCTTTCGATTCAGATTGTTAATATTGTTGTGGGTGGGCACAAAACAGGACGGACAAGTATGAACCGGATGTTACTGAGTACTGGACAGACGTCCTGACGACGGGCGAAATGATATTCCGCAAGTCGGAGTTGCATGTCAGGGAATACGTCGTTGTGGACAGTGCGAAGCAGGGGCTTCCTGGGCCGATCGTGGGCGACTCTCCGATGCCTACGTTTGATTTCGGATTCGGTGGCGGGTCTGGGAATGCGGCTTCTCACACCACAGATCTCGCCCGGTTGAAGGGTCAGGCCTACCAAGGCGCAGACATCCAAACTCCTTTGGAGGACAGAAGGCAAATATAATGCGAATCGCAGATGAACAAAAGGATCCCTAAGGCCCTAATTCTAAGGTTTAAACCTTATTTATCCCGGGCCCTTTCTAAACTCTTAGGTCTAGAAATGCTAGAAAAAATAGACTAGACCTCGAAACCCCTCCGACCCTGAACCTAAGATACAAGCTTTAACTATAAACTCGTGCAGGACATCGCCAACGTTCCCACCATCCTGGCCCAGATCCTCCGAACCCAGAAGCAGGTAACTCTGACTCTGGAGAAGGCGGCGAAAGAAGACCCGAAAAACAACAATGAGAAAGAGAGCCTTTGCCCGACAATTAATTTCTCTACGAGTATGACTCGAACCCAGTAAAACCCTGAAGCTCTATATGATAGATCCCTATATATACATATCGGCCATGATAAACCCTGAAACTTCTCTAAACCCTTACCCCCAAACCCCGAACAAAACTGTAGCTTCTTAGCATAAGGTGTGCCAAACTCCGTGATCAAGCCTCCAGACTACTGGAACTTCATGATGCGATCGCCGAAATGCGATCCCAATTTGACGCAGACAAGACGTTGACTGCCGAGCCGCTAGGTCAAATCCATTACAATGCTTTACAAAGGAGCATAACCATATAAGTTTACATCCTCGATCAGGAATGCAGAGAAACTCAAGAAGACCATCACGGAGGTGGAAATGGTGTTCCCTGCTTGCACTAAAGTATTATGATCTATTTATCCTAGCATTGGTCTTGCCAGTCCGCCTGCGCGATTGCGGGCCACCATTCGCGATCCTCGGATGGGTGCAAATCTGAGGTGCAGCCGAGTCGTGATGGAAGATCAGAAGATCAAACGGCCAGCAACCCCGGTCTTAAAACGGTTTCAAGTGTTAATTACACGCCACAACAAAGATTCCAAATTTGTGAACATCCTGAATATGAGGCTCTACCTTGGGCGAGCTGGCTCGATGAAACCGGCTACTCCAAAGGCAAAAGCCAAAGCCAAAGTGGCGCCCAAAGCGGCGACCAAAAGGGCTGCCAAAAAGGCCAAGGTCGATGAAAGTGATGATGACGAGAATTTGGATGAACATGATGGTGATGAAGATCTTGATGATATGGAAGAGGAGGAGGAAGAGGAGGAGCCCCAGACCAGCCGCAAAGGCAAAGGAAAACCGAAGGCAAAGGCAAAGGCAAAGGGTGCAGCTAAGGCCACGGGCAAAGCCAAGGCCAAGGCTAGCTCAAAGAAGAAGTGAGCTGATACGGGTCGCTTAAGTTTATATATGGCATAGCTGGGCTACTTCGATAGGCTACATAACACCAAATCGCAGGCTCGACTCGTGCCAGCTACCCTGTGAGCACAAAGTGCTCCAGCTTTTGGATCCACCACTGTGAGATAGTCGCAGTGTGCTTTTCAGCCAGGGTTCTGCGTGCACGTAATCCCAGTTCGGAGGCAATGCTTGGCCGATGTATACCTTGGGCGAATAACTATAGTCGGAGCAATATTAAAAAGGCTTCACCTCCACTAAGTAGCATAATTAACTTATAGGTCGGACATTAGTGTACCTAATGTCTTATGTAGACTCGACGGATGACTCAGGGCTGGGCGGTGTATCGCTATGGGGATCTAATTTGCATGGCCTGTACGCGCCAGCCTGGATTTCAAGAGAAAGCAGGAGAAATGCTGTTCATGATGGTCGGGTAGTAAGTGTGATCGATGTATATTACCCATCACCATCATCATTATCATTACCATCATGATTATCATAGATACAGTCGATCGTCATCATCACCATTTATCACTCTTACCACCCTTATCACCATAAAATGTTTTCGATCAATACATCATTCTGCATACCGATTACCATCACCATAACAATTCACAGTATGTGCTTTTTGCAATTGCCATGACCACTACCATTATCGTTGACATATCACTCATTGTTACCATCACATCATTATCATAGCCATCTCTGCAGAAAGGCATACTGTAGATTAGGATGAGCCTGGTTTTTTCGAAAGTAGGGTGTTAGGGCGGGGTATTTCTGGGGTTTCGAACTCCTTGCAGGCTTTGATGTCGAGGCTAAAGCTAAAGCCCTATATGGATTATGGAAGCCGTATCCGAGAGCAACTTATCCCATGGATCATCGTCCTGAAAGCCCAAAACCCTAATCATTGGCCCTATGTATGCATCACCTGCCTCAGAAAGTCCAGCTGTATGTAAAAAACCCTATGCATAACCCTACACCCCGAGTGCCCAAGCCCTGAAACCGCGCAAGCTACAAATCCCCACACCCCTGTGCCAGCCGTGGCCCCGATAGTTGCTCCATGTTCCCGATCCGCAGGTGCTGCAGCTCGAGTTCATGACGGTCCCGCCGGGAAAGCCCTGGCGCGGGCCAGTGGGGCAGGTGTGTCATGGATTCTATTAAAGATAGTCGAGTGTAACAGTGTACGATGTATGTAGGCTTCAAACTCTGCTATCGTTACTTTGTGCTGCGGATGTCAACAATATAAGGTTACTGACCGTATGATCTGTGACATTGCGGCGGGCTTTTGGGAGGAACTGGCAGCTTCAGGTTCACAGCCCTCTATGCCGAGCTCAAGTGTTCTTAAAAGAATGCATCGCAAGCGAGTGACGAAACATGAGAATGAGACGTCGAAGCTGCTGCAGAAAGAAGGGCTTTCCTGCCCTATACCCATACAATACGCCGACATTGGGGCCGGGACTCAACATGAGTTCTTTTCGTTCGAATCCTTTATATGCATCTTGAGCTTGCACCAGCATCTTCCGTTGCTTTTGGGACATGTGAACGATTTTTCGATGGTAGCCGAGTTCTGGGAACGCTACAGAATGATCGAACCAGCACATCCTATATATACAATCCACGCCAACCGCGAGAAGTATGTGATCCCCTGCTTTTTCCATTCAGATGAGGGCCGCACCCTCAAAAAAAGCCAAATCATGGTATTCAACTTGCAGCCCGCACTTGGTGGAAACCCCGAACCTGAATATGACATCAACGAGATGCATACGAACATGAAGTTCCACTCCTTCGCTACGAGGTTTTTATTGGCCACAATGTGCAAGAAGGTCTACCGACAGAACTCCGGACCTTTTTACAAGTTGCTAGAGGCAATTTCTGCTGACCTCCTTCGCTTATGGGAGAATGGTGTTGAGGTTCAGTTTCGTGGAAAATCAGTGCGCCTTCACGTCTGCGTGGTCGCTGTGAAGGGCGACTGGCCTGCGCTGGCGAAGATGGGGTGCATGGAACGATGGTTCGGGAGAGCCGTGAAAAAAAAGGACGCCCATGGAGCTGGCATCTGCCACCTGTGTTTGGCAGGCTGCCCTGGCTTCCCCTTCCATGCTATCGATCGAGAAGCAGAGTGGAGAAACACTGTATTGACAGTGTGTCCATTCAAAGCGCCATCGCCTTTGTCATGCCTACCGAACTATGGACCCATGCTCTACCGCTTTGATGTGTTCCATACGGCCCATAAAGGAATTCTTGCTGAATTGGCGGGCAGTGCACTAGCCAGACTCCCAGATTATTGTTTTGAGTATTAGCATACACCGATCATATTTTTGGGGTGCTTTAGGTCCTCTATCATAGTAAAATTCGTCTGTAGGCTTATGCGGGTGGTATGTATCGGGTAAGAGGCGGGTGTAAGGTCCTTTTCGTGCTGCTTTTCTGTTTGGGACACTGATGGGTCGTTAGCCTCATTGGATAACTACTTTGGTCTCGGATCCAGGTGGTGCTGATAGATCTTCACTTGGTTGGCCCTGGAGATGTGCCGGCGCAACTCAAGATTCTCTACAATGACATGGCCTCCTTCTGCAAGTCATCCAAAATTCCGCTGCATGCCGATACCTTGACTCGGACGTTGGTAGGCTTTGGCAAGGATTCCGACTTTCCAGTTGGGCAGCTCTGCGACAATGCAGTTTCTGTGTAAACCTTAACTATAGTTGCCTTAATCCGACAGCTTGCTCTTGATTGTTTGGGGTGGTTTGCTTCCCAGGTGCTGGTTCAAAGGAGCTGACACACGTGCAGCTTGTTCCTTTCTGGAATGGAGGTACCAGCAGCACCTGCAAAGCTCAAACTGCCCGTGCAAAGAGTACATGACAAGTATTTACAACTGCATACAAGCTGCGAATGCATGCCTCCGGTGCATGTACTCACATGGACTCTGGGTTTCGCCGGCAGATGCTGGAACAATCCTACGATGCGGCTACGACACTATGCGCCACTATCTGGACGCTGCGAGCATGGCTCTGTCTATGCGCAAAACGAGATTCAAGTTAACTCCGAAGCTGCATGCATTTAACCATTGCATGGACTACCTCCTCCAAAACCCCTCTGCCAAATGGCAGCTCAATCCATGCGTCTTCTCTACACAGCAAGATGAAGACTTCGTCGGCAGAATCAGTGCCTTGAGCTGTGCGGTGTCAGTCAAGTCGGTACACCGGCAGGTCATGGCGCGATATTCTGCCCAAGTGATGCGTCACTGGCAGACTGTGTGCGATGGGCAGGCAAAAGATCGCTGTGGGTTAAGGGTTTGTCTTTGCTAGGATTTTGGTCTATGCATGGGCTTGATATCCCAGGCAAGCTGTCCCCTATCTTCCGATTAACCCTCGAAGCTTGACAACTGCTTCGGATTTCAGCTTGAAGCCAAAAGCTCAACGAATTCTTCGTATATGACCACACCCAAAACAGGCACTGGCCAAGCAAACTTGGAACTGAGCGTCGTTCCGTTTATTATGGCCAACTAGGTTCCCCAGGTATATATATATATATATATATACATGCAGGTCGACATGTCGACTGTATATATATATATATATACACATATATATATATATAATTTTTATACTAGATATATATATATATTCTTCCATGAAACCGGGATTCTCCCTGGGCTCCGGAAGGCCTTTCCGCCAGGGTTGCCGCTGCACCCAGCGCTGGAAATTGCGATATACATTCCTATCATCTTCATACGAAGCAAGATCGACGAGATTGCGCCTCGGCCAGGACGCACTAAAGATTCGCCTCAAACTAAAATCTGGACTTCCCACCGAGCAAACCAGCACACACACACACACACACACATCTTTGCGTTCCGGTCACGGGAGCATCAAATGAGGAATGCGACCGGCTATTTTGTCGCATACTTGCTTTATCTTCCGCGTCGTCAAATGCTCGGACAGCTCCAACAATTCTTCCACCAAGTCCATGATGACGAGGGGGTTCGGGGTCTATAGGATTTTAGAACTAAGGCTTATCCTCCTATGCATGCAGTTCTTCATGCTATTGCTTTGAGGGTTCGGGCTAGGATATATATATATATATATATATATATATAGAGGATTTAAGGGTTGAAGCTCTCATCAGGGTTTGTCTATAGGGGTACACATGGGCTTCCGGGTGTTGGGTCTGGTGCTTTATTGTGAGATATTCCCATGTCATCAGATAGGGGAAAGTTACACATGTTAGACGGGAGTGATACGGATCCATGTTCACCAGGGCGCAGGGATTTGGCTGTGATTTTCGCTCTACCTGTCTAACAGACTCTGGCACTTCAGCTGTACAGGAACGACTTCTGTAGTGCGAGGTTTGATAAGCCTAGTTTCATGAATGTTCCTATATATATATATATGTAGCGGTGGGGACTCTAAGCTTGCGAACTATTGTCAGCTAGAAGGTGCACATGCATATGGCCAGCTGTCCATGAAAGCTTGTATATTTAGTCCACGGGAATTGATTTGGATCCCTGCTCCTGAAAAGCTGCATGCGGGGAGCTCTGTGCTAAGACATGCAGGCATACTCATCCCAACAGACATCCAGCAGTCTGTAACATGCCCTAATCCGCAAAGGTCATTTCACCACGACTGCGATCCTCGGTGAAGCGCTTCACCGGTGCTGGAGACATGGCGGCCAGGGGCATGATTGAAGTAAATATTCCAGCCTATAGGGCAACCTTATAATTAAGGTTTCAGGTTAATTAAGTAAACGTAATGCTCTAGACCAGATCGAGCTAGCTAGCCTGGGATGGCATGCCAACAGCCACGATTGCAGAGTTATTCGCATAACAACACCCAGACTGCTCAGTCAGAAGCCTATGGATAGGTTCCACAGGCCCCGGGGATATGCCGACCAGGAGTTTGTATTTGAGTTAGGCCGATAGCCTATAGAAGATCATGCACCCTATACGATCGAGCTTCAAACTCCTGGATAGCAACCCAACAGCCATGACTGCAGAGTCCGTGCAGTGTCCTCAAAACACCGGCCCAGACATCTGATCGGCTTGTAGCTATAATATTTATATATTTATATGTCACCTATATATACATAAATATAAGACCGAATAACATCATTGGCATATCCTACCCCTCCAAACCTTGCACGCCTCAGCAATCCGATCAGACTTGAGCTAATTGAGTGCATATTGAATGCATGCAGACACGAGGCCGAGGATCAAACCTCGAGCCGCCCGATTCCCTTATTGCTAGCAGCTCTTCATAGCCGGTCTGTTCCACTAGGAATATGGTAAGCGTCCACATGCACACATCCAATTAGGTCGTGCAACTTCCTCTCAACTAATTAACTTTTGTGGTGCCAAAAGCACAGTGCACTTGCGGCGCAAGATATCGAAGTTCTGATCCTGCGCTAAAACACTAGGGTTTAATGCACAATATACGGCGGTAGGGGTTAACATTAGGGCATGAGGCTTAATTTAAAATTAGGGTTCAAGGGGTTTGGGCGAAAACCAAAACTGCATTGGAGCACACGTGATGCCCCTAAGGTACTGCAGACGTGACACCGGCCAGCCATCGATCCAGATCGAAAGGTGATCGAGCAGCATCCGTGGGCCATACCTTAGATCGAATACGCATATATACATATATATAGAGAGAGAGAGAGAGAGAGCGACAATGACTCTGTGTGTGTGTACACAGGCAGTACATATTTATATAGTATAATTATAAAAATATATATATATATATATATATATTATATATATTTATTTATTTAATTAATTGTTATATGTATCCGAGTTATGCTGTTCTGCAGATTAGGATGCTTAGCAGCAGCGTGGTACCGTGGGGGTTGTCGCTCAATTCCGGCTTAATTGTTGCACACACACACACATATATATATATATATATATACATTAATTGAGGAGTTGGACTTGGGAGTGTGGGGCTTTGGAATTAGTTAGATCGTTTTCGGAGGGTGTCAGTCCGCTGTATCGAGCAATGCGGTCTAACTTCATATCGGGTCAACGGTGCTTACTCTCTACATGCGTACACTCCTGCATTGGCCCCCTGTAACCCTATATAACACTCGGCTCTCTTATATTCAGTCTTCATTTGACAACCCGGTAAGTCCAGATGATCTGTAGACCCCCTAACCCCACAGGTCAATCCCAAATTAGTTTACCCAGAAGTCCGCGCAAAGGACCCAGGCACCAGAAGCCCACGCGGTAGGGCCCATCCAGGCCCCAGCAGACACGTGCCTGCAAGGATCGTTGGGGAAATTAAGGGATACACGTGGGTGGACTATCGTGTTTAGTGTAGGGTTTGCTAGTACATCTGATGATTCTACATAGGAATTGTCTCGATCGGATGTTTATAGGAATTGTCTCGATCGGGAGTACTGTCTAGTGGAATGGGGCTTAGAAAGATCGCCCTTGAAAATCTATACCATTGCACCTGAGTTGCCTTTAATCTGTTTCGGCGTCTGAGCTTTGCTTTGGTGCCTTGCCGATCCGCCGACGGGCCTCTCGCATCCCTTCGTTGATAGGCTTTAGATCCTCCTCGAGGAGGCTGATTGCAGAGAGCTTGTCTTCCAAGCTGCTCGCAGGATGAATCTTCTTATCCCACTCGCTCGGCATCACTTTCACATCATCCACATACTTCGTCAAAACCTGCCGGAGCTCCTCCGAGTAGGGCACAGATTTCAGCTCCTCGACCAAAGTCATCAGCTTCTTCTCTGCAGTGACGAGCCTCGACTCCAAAACCCGGCCCATCATCCAAAACACTAAACCCTGCAACTTAAATCCTGGACCCCTAGAAAATTGAACTACCCTATGCATATATATATATATGTATATATACATTTTAATAAATCCCTGGTATTGAATAGTGGCCAGAGCACCCTTTGAAGATCTTCTGCAGTTTCTTGTCGGCTTGCTCTTCCGGGGTCAAGACCTGGGGCTTCGAGGGTTCAGGCTTGCGACAGTCACAGTTTAGTGTTTGTGGCCTTGGGAAACGACTTGAAAGGATATAGGTCTTGAGCTTTCCATATAATGCAAATCAAGTTACCTTGGCCTGTTTCTTGGGCTTGATTCGCAGTTCCTCGAAAGAGCCCATCGACTTGCCCAGCGTCTCAGCAAAATCCGTCAGAGCGGGCTCCAAGGACGCGCGGTCACCGTCGGCGACCACACCACTCATCTCGATCTGCCAGGATGCTGGGACTTGGGACAGGAAATATGGGGCCTGCGCTTAAGGGATGTTTGAGCTATGGGATATTGTAGTAGCTAAAGCTTGGACTCGCTTTGGGATCTTTGAGCGTAGGACTCGGGGTGTGCAGAGGCTTTGGATATAAGAAGTACTGCAAAAAAACTATCCGGCCTCAGTCTGACTGCTTCGAACCTTGCCACGATCGTTCATCGTGTCTTTCAAGACTCTGTAGCGCTTAGCAGGCTCGAAGTTTGGAGCTTGGGGGTGTGGAATTCCTTCTTGTCCTGCAGCAGAACCAGGGCAAACACACATAGGGATTTAGGCTTAGGTGTTTAGGGCTCTGCGACATCACAATACAAAGTCCACTGCACGACTCTTAAAGGCAAAGCACCTGCCGTAATGATCTTGATGAACTCCTCACCATCCTCTCCCGGGAACTCCTTGCGCAGCTGCATCATCGTCACCTCGATCGTTTGACGAGGTATGCATATATATATATATATGTTTAGGAATATATAATTATATAGGGTTTAGGGTCAGGGGTTTAGGGTTTTGGGGTTAAGGGTTTAAGGTTTAGGGTTCGGGACTAGGGTTTCGGGATTAGGGTTCGGGATTAGGGTTCGGGATTAGGGTGTAGGGTTTAAGGTTCGGGGTTTAGGGTATGTGGTTAAATTGCTGCATTCCAGGATCCGTTCTGTAACGGTCTTTGTTCTCGTCCAGAGACTCATCCTTGTACTTTTGCGAAGTCTGCACATCCAGCCCACCCTCGCGAAGGAGCTCGTCCTTCAAGAAGTTGAACCTCATAGCTGCAGTCAGGAGTCTTGGGGTTTGATTTAATACGGGATTGGAAATCCGCATATTTAAAGGATGGGTTTAATGTATATATATATATATATGTATTTCATTGTGGTAGCTGCTCGCATAGCAGGATGTATTATTCGGTCATTAAGATCTGTTGTTTTCAGCACAGCATGCAGTTCCCAAGACTAATTTCATACTGTATATCGATCGATCGGGATTCGAGGGTTTCTTTTTTTTTGTTGGGGGGGTGGCTTCGACGGTAAGGGCTTCACAGATCAATAAGCGTTGGGGGTTAGGGTTTCGGGGCG